TCAGTTAATTTTGTATTAATTCAGCTTTATTTTCAAATAAATTTTATATTACAATAATGGAATAATAAATTTTTTTTATTTTTACATTTTTTTTCGAGGAATGCTTATTTTCGGGTAATATTAAAAAATGGAGGTGCTTATTTTCGGGACTATATGGTAATGCCATATCACATAATATATCACATGATTTAATTTTTAAATTTGCATTTTAATTCAGTAAATCACCTTGTAAAATTGTCTTGATTTACTCAGAGAAATATTTTTGGAATTAAATATTTTAGAAATTTATTTTTATTTAGAAAGAGCAGTTTATTGCTCAATTTCTTCAAATTTTATATACTTTGTTAAATTTGTTAGCGGTCCGTTATATATAAAATTAATTCTATTTTTCAATTTCTCTTTTTAACTCAAACTTTTATTTTCAGAGTGTTGTTTAATATAATTTCATTGTAGTGTGAAATAGAGATCAAAATTCATTTACTAAAAAGCTAAAAATCCTGGCAGAAATCACCACTTTTATTGGCTTGGTATCTGTAAACTTAAATGATAAATTTTAATTCAATCTGTCAAATTAAATACAAGACAATATCACAATTACGCTTATATAAAGACATGAAAAAGGCAATAGTAAATGAATTTAACGATTCCTTTATTAAACTCTTGGTTTTTATGCTGAAACTTAGATTTTTTTAACAATGCATCAACTATGATGTGACATTATAATTTCAACAAAGTAACAGCATATTTATAAAATTCATAATAACAATGTAATTATTACTATTATTATAATATGTTAATAATATTGTAATAATGCTATTAATTTGTATTGTGGTATTGTTATAAATTATTATCTAATAAAATAAAATCAAAACGTCTTTGCAACACCTGTATATTTATTTTTACAACGTTGTTATCTTATTTATCACTAATCGACTATTAAGAGATAAATTTCACGATCTGTAATATTATTAAATTACGAATTTTCTGCAGTATTCGTAACATATTCAGTATTATGACTTGATATCAATCTTATTATGTAATGGTACAATATTAATCATTCTTTCTAAGCCACACCTACTAGTTCGGTTGAATTGTTGATCGATCAATTACACTAACCAAAATAGGCTATTTGTTTATATTCGTATAATCAAGAAAAAAAATACAGTTAATTATTCGTATTCGTATAATAAAAAAATGCAGAAAAATAATTAGAAATTTTTTATTTTTCTTTCTGCCTTGAATATGGCGATATTTAAATAATAATATAAAGCTTAACGTGATTAAGATAATGATTAGTTAAATCATTATTAGGTCCAGTGACCATGACGTTATGATGATAAAAATACATAAAACTATTTAAAGTTGACTAACCAGATTCCTTACGATTCTTAATTCACTTTGGTTAAACTTAAAATGGTCAAGACACGAAAATATAATAAAAGAAATGCTGGTAAGAGAAATTTTCTTTGACTATTAAAATATTCTTGTATTATTTATTATTATTATTATTTATATAAACTATTAGCTTCCAAATCTCCTTTGAGATCTGTTGAAACAAATAACTCTCTTGAAGAAGCTAAATCACAAGCTACAAATACTACGGAAAGCAAAAGAAAAAGGGTTTCATGTCATATGAATGCAAAAATTAAAACAAGAGAAAATGAAGAACTTAGTTTAATCGATGATGATACTACGGAAAGCAAAAGAAAAAGGGTTCCATGTTGTATGAATGCAAAAAAGAAAACAAGAGAAAATGATGATGATGATGGTATATGTACAATCTTATTGATGTTATTTTACCATATGCAGATAATACTATACTAATTTTATTATATAATTTAGATGTAATTCAAACTGCAAGTGGTTCACGTTCTTGTAAATCTAAAAATACTATACAACAAAATGAAAAATCAGAACAATCATCAGCATCAAATGTCTCATCTCCTTTAATCTGAAGTCATTCACCTGAAAGTTTTTATGACCAACGATTGCCAACATATAACATTGCTCCATCTTCTTCAATCAAAGATAATTCACTTGAAAATACTTATGACCAACGATCATCAGTATCAAACATGACCAATATTACATCATCCTTAACCAGAAGCTATTCATTTGAAAGTACCAATAACCAACTATCGATAGCATCAAATACAACAAATATCACTACATCTTCTTTAATTGATCCATTTAAAAATAATCTTGAAGTTTATTTGTATTTGGTACAGCATCCAGAACTTATTAATTTAACAATGAACATGATGAAAGCAGATGGCCAGGAATCCATAACTACTTGAGAAAAGGTTGATAAGTTTAATGTGCTTCCAGAAAGGGTAGGTTTTAATATATAAATTGATAAATATTGCATAATTCAATTATTTAATTCAATTATTTATTGTTTATTTAAAATAGAAACTTAGAATGCTTCAAATGCATTTAAAATGCCTTTTTTTCGTACAAGAGTCATAAATAAGCAAATCATTGACGCACTAATAAGGTCTTTATTTCCAAATATTCAAAATACTAGAGCATCTGATCGTGCTGCATTACAGACGTGGGTTTTTGGATGCTACCGTAATTATAATGCATCAATGAGATGTGAACTTCGAAAGCTGGTCCCTGAATTCATTAGGAAATATAGGTAATGTTTATAAGTTATATTTTTATATGTTATTATTTGTTATTAATTTGATAATAGAAAAGACTAAAAATCATTATACTGTAGATTGACTAAGAGTAAACAACCGACAATGCAACAGATTACTGAGTATATTACAGAAAGCAATTGGATAGCTTTCTTAAAACATCATATGAATGTGGTAAATGAGCAAAAGACGTTCAAGGATCAACCTGAAAATATTATCAAATTTAACAATTTTATACGATCGGCATTTAATCTTTTCGTTCAAGAAAATCTTTTAGACAAAGATGTGATCGATGCTGTCAAAGATCTAAATTATATAACAGTTGATATAGAAATATTTACAGCCGATGGAAAAGATTCTTTGCAACAATTAGATATTAGATCACTTCTCAAGTTAGACTAGCACATAATGTTATTAATGAGATATAATGTTACAATAATTGGTTGATAATATTGCTAATACTGCTTACAATATATAATTGATAAAGAAAAACTTAATAATTCAAAACTTGTCGCTTTAAAAATTATTGTATTATTTAATGATAGCATGATGGTTAATAAATAAAAAATTCGTTACATTTATACAAGAAATTACAAAATTATTTAATGTTTTCTGGTTGTATCATCGGTTGATTTTTTCTGGTTGATCTACTAGTATATATCACATAATATTGAAAATCTGCATGATGTCAGCAAATTTAGAAATAAAACAAACTTTTTTTTAAAAAAAAATTGTCAGCGAAATAAAAATACTTTTCCTAATTCAAGAATTGCCTTTGTTTTTTTTTTTTTTCAAAGAAATTATACTACCAAATATTTTAACCTTATTTCTTATAAACAACGTTTTCTACCGTAGACTGACAATATATTAGAAATGAAAAGAGTACGAACTAAGAAAATGACACAAAGAATTGCATTACAAAAACGTATTACAACTAACATTTCTAGTGTTATACAAAGAGAAGAATGTTCACAAGCACGTATACTTTATGATTCACAAAACAATATCAACCAAATTTTACCAAATTTATTAAATTGTGAAGATGATAATAGCGAAAGTTTAGAAGATTTATCGGATAAAAGTCAATATACTAATTATGAAACATCATCAGATTTTCATGATTTTGTATCCAATTTCTCTACAGCTTCAGATACATTGAGTAACGATGACCGATCAATGATTATAGAGGAAATCGAAAGGATAATAGAACCTACGCAAACTATAGTAGATAGCGAGACTGATTTTTAACCACAATCAGGAGAATATGGTCCTTATTTCAAGAATTTTACAGAGATGTTGTTTTTTACTTAGGTTACCAAGCATATGATTAGTGAGTAATAGTAAAAAATATATAATTCTTTATATATATGTATATTATTGAATGAAAACTATTTATTAGCTACCAATGCATACGAGAATCTTGTATGCATCCTATAATATCACAACTTCCGACCTGAACACGTAATTAAAAACATCAGACAGTTGAGATCATTACGTAGCTGACTTCCACTTCAGATAATAAAGAGCCATCAAATTCCTATTCAAAATATGAAAACATCTTCGACTTCAACACCTTTCAAGAATGCTTATACCATATCTGTGATTGAACATATAAAAAGAGTTTTAGGTAATAAAACTTTACTATCACAAATGTATTTTGGGCCTGGAATTGAAGCTAAAACAAAATCAGAGTTTTGGCACAACAATATATGGCAACAATCACCACTTTTCGGTCAAGCGTCAATTTGGATAAATCGAGGTAATATTTATAGCCCAATGATTGTTTTATTGAAGAACTATAACTAATAAATTCTATTTAGTGTTATATAAAACAGGATCTTTTATTAAATATAAAGACAAAAGAACAAGAATTGGAAGGATTCTAGCGATAGTATCAACTTCTGATGGTATTGAATTGAAGGTTCAACCTCTTTATTATGGTTCTGAATTACCAAAGATTTTTGCAAATTCAATAAGGTTAGAACGAGCTCGGAATGGAGAACTATGGTTAAGTGAAATATCATGTTTGATTGACCTACAAAACATTATTGAACCAATCAATGTCTGGCTTCAAGACACTTCACAACCTGTTAATGGTTATCAATTTTATGTTAGTGAAATTATATACAGTTATGAGGGTCAATGGAAGATTAGAAAAGTTGAATTTCAGCATCAACATCCAAGTGAATATACCTGTAATATGAATATGATACCTCAAGGAATACCCATCTTAAAACTAATGTTAGATATTTATTATGATGACTTCGGAACTTTTCGCAATGTTTATCACTCTCTGGGTGAAATTTACCTTCAATTTTATAATATGTCTTTGTAGTTATGAAAACAACTAAAGAACCATTTTGTTCTGAGTTTTGTTCCATTTGGAGAGGAATTTGATAACATAATGGAACCAATTGTGAATGAAATCAAAAATTTAGAAAAAGGTATTACGATGAATATTAATGGTCAAGATATATGAGTCATTGCTGCTTTAGGTGTTATAACTGCCAATCTACCCCAAGGGAATGATCTCGCAGATACAAAATGATATGGTGATAACCAAGGGTGTAGGAGTTGTTTAGTACTTAAAGAACAATTAAGTGACCTTACTTTTGATATTAAATTAAATGCAAGATATAGCCATCTCATAGATAAGAAAATTAACAAATAAAGGAATTAGTTCAAGAAAGAGCATCGCAAAAAACAATCAATAACTATTGTACTGAATATGGGTTAAGAACACGT